TTTTTTTGTATTTTCAGTAGAGATGGGGTTTCACCGTGTTAGCCAGGATGGTCTCGATCTCATGACCTCGTGATCCGCCCACCTCGGCCTCCCAAAGTGCTGGGATTACAGGCGTGAGTCACCACGCCCGGCCAAGGAGATCTATATTTTTAAAAATCATGAGTTCATAATGACTTCTACATTAATTTTAACATTATAGGTTTTTTATTATCTTCTTTTATTTTATATCTTTACCTTTTACCCTGGAAATCTTGGTTCCTGGTTAGAAACATTAATATAATTACTTGTTTGCTTTACTCTACCATATCACATAAAATAGTTTCAAATCCTGAACCCAACATTGCCACCGATGGAACAACTACTGAGTGAAGTTTATGCTTTTTTTGTGGTTCTCTTTGTCCTTAGATTATATCCCATTAATGTTGTAGAGCCTGAACACTGGGTGCTAATATTACTTGAAATGATTCTTTCCTCTGTGTGGTCATATTACTGTTTATTATATGATCAGATTTACTTGTTTCAGTGGGTTTTTAAAAAAATTATAGGGTCTGCTTGTTTTTCCCTTGTGGTTTAATTCTACATTTTGGCCATATAAAACATTTGCAAGGTGCAGAAGTCAAACTGTATAACAACATAGTCCAGAAAATCTTGCTTTCCCCCTCCACATACTGTTTCTCCCTCCCCTTGTGGGAAACCATTCTTTTATTAGCTTCTGGTGTATCCTTTCAGTGTTTCCTTTTGCAAAAATAAGAATATCCTGCTATTCCTCCACCAGGAATGCCTGTCCTTGTGATTTTTGAAGTGTTCGTACAGTCCCATCTTTTAGATTGATTCCAACCTCTGTGCCACTTCCTCTACGGAGATTTCTCTAATCCTTGGACCGTCATCAAGTTCTTTCTCCGTATCTCAATCCTAGAGCATTCCTAATCTCCATTTCCTGTGGCTCTATCCGTCTATTTGGGGTCTTAATTACATACCATTGTGCATTGTTGTGACTTAATTTGCTCACGTCTTGTCACTCAATGTCTTGTTTCTGCGTGTTCCTTGAGGGTAGGATAATGACTAGAATTCTTTCGTATTTCTCAACAATGTCTAAAAAAGGACTGGGCATAGAGTAATAGGTCATAGATTCAGTCAACTCTTTTTTAAATTTTTTTGATACAGAGTCTTGCTCTGTCGCCCAGACTGGAGTGCAGTGACATGACCTCGGCTCACTGCAACCTCCAACCCCTGGGTTCAAGCGATTCTCTTGCTTCAGCCTCCCAAGTAGCTGGAATTACAGGCATGCACCACCATGCCTGGCTGATTTTTGTGGTTTTTGTAAAGACAGGGTTTCACCATGTTGGTCAGGCTGGTCTCGAACTCCTGACCTCAGGTGATCCACCCGCCTCAGCCTCCCAAAGTGCTGGGATTAAAGGAGTGAGCCACCGTGCCCGACCTCAGTCAATTTTTGTTATTGATAATAGTTATGTTCTATCAAGCCACCGTGAGTACTGAATTAGGGAATACTGACTCTTTTGCTCCTAGGGAAAATATGGGGTTAGCGTCCTGTGAGCATCTAGTCAGAAAATTTTCGTTCACTAATTAAATTAATACATAACTGTGTTTTATGAATGTTGCTGTGTAAAGATACCTTACTATATATATGTATGTATATATGTGTGTGTGTGTATATATACATATATATACATACACACACACACACACACACATATATATATATAT